TGACTTATTGGCCGGGAATTAAATTCACACAGGGAAATTTCAATTTTAGAAATTCGACGAGCAAATTGACCATGCGATACAAATGATGGGACCTGCATAAAGTTATAAAGCTCGTCACGATCTTCAAAATGCGTGTTTTCGCAGCCTCATCGGATGAATGGGTGACGAGTTTTGGCACTCAGAAAGTAGGCCAAGCTGGCCGGGAATTACATGAAAATTCCTGAAATAAAACTTCGGGTTACTCACACCTTCGAACTTCGGGTGCGCCAAATTCCGGTGGGAATTTGGCACAAATACATCCTCTGTTCCAGATAAAAGTTGTGGATGATTTTGATGGATAATTTATTTGAGAGTTTGTATTATTTTGCTGTAGCTGTCGTATTCTGTGAGTTGATAAGCATAGCTACGATATCTAAGCTTCGATTGCCACTAATTTCAGCGAAATCGGAGCAGTATTGAGCGAGTGGCGTAGTTTTGAAAAGTCACTGGTCTGGTCGTGAAATTTTAAGTTTGGATATCTCGGCAACCATGTACAATAAGAAAAATCCCAAAATAGCTACGTATTCCGAATCCTCGTTGGCACTTCCCGTCGACGTCCTGGACCGCTTCGCCACCAGAATCTCTGCCTCCCGACAGAGCTTGTCACTGGTGGTCTCAAGCAGCTCCCTCTTCTCGCTTTCCTTGTTTTGTTTGCGCTTCTTCGACGTGGCCACTTCGTCCATGCGCATGACGAGGTCTTGAAGGAGCTGCACTCTTTCAGTGACGTACTCCTCAGTACCACTTGAACGTTTCTGAGCATCGTCGTCCTTCTTGAAGTCTTTGAGCATCACGTCAACATGCTCACGGGCACTGCGGTAGTTGATCTTGGGTACTTGGCCACTTGCAACCAACTTCCATCGCTGCAGCAGCTCGCTGTTGTCTGCTGCGAATGGTTTGATTCGTGTCACCTCACGCAGGAGGGCTACCTCCAGGTTTTCCGTCCATGCAACGTACTTGGCTGGTGGTCGAGGTTGCCTCCGTTTCGGCATTCTATGTTAGTGGTCGCTGCTCAGGTCGAATTATCACCTCGATCGCATTCCTCCACGCGATCGGTTTACTCTGCAGACAATGAGTGACTGCATAACATCTCTCAGGCAGGCTGCAGAGTGGGGAATGGGCGCACTGTCAGATCTACAACTTCAGAGTTCACCGAACGGGACTCAGTCATACGTCGAAATAGTCAACATCAAGAACATATGCATTTATTATGCTACGATTGTGCCACACTAAACTTTGATTTTTTATACCATGGCCATCAACCTTCGAACTGAAGAATAAGATATCATCATGTTTTTGACATATATCACAAAATCCCGCGGCCGTCCAATAAAATACAAATAATCTGACTAGATAGTGTGCATTATGTCGTGTTATTTGTAGAGATAATTTGACCCAATTGTGATTATTCTGACGATGGAGCATCTAAATATATGCAATTCATCACTCTTGAAAATATTCTGTCCTTGAATTACACATTTAACTGAATTACATGTTTAACTCGATTCATTTTCCCCAAAACTTTGCCAAGGAGAAACTACAATTCGTCGCGGAGAGCTTCGCGGGCTTCCCGATCCCTGTCGGCCTTTTCTACCTGCTCTTCACGCAACCTGTCGGTCTTTTCCTGTCGCTCGTACCTCATGTCTTCACGCTTGGCATCCCGCTCGCTCATAACCATAAGGAACTTCATCATGTCGAACGACGCATTCGCATCGGATTCCGACGCTCGTTCAATGTACTTGTCAATTGAGCGTCTCTTTTTTGCCATATACGACAGTAAACCACCGGTATCAGACTGTTTACGTTTGAGCTTGTCGCTCAGCACTTGAAGCTCGGAGGGTTGCAAAACCGTTCGACTGACCTCAACGTGTTGATCATCCAGTTGAGTTGGTAGTTGTGAGGGCAGCGTGGCCGACTAAAAGGTGTCATCTAGGAGCTCATTAGAATAGAGATTGAAGAGGTTGTCATGTACCGCTACAGTCGTCGCTGTCGTCAGGTTAATCATCCATCGAAATTGTTACATCCATCGACAGGACCGTCACAGAGCTCTCAATTTCTCTTTTCAGACGTTTTGCATGCAGGACGTCGGGGGGGGGCAGTCGGGATGGCCGGTTGGTTTCTGAGCATTCTTGAGAAGCAGGAACTTTCTCTTCAGCGCTTCTACATCCCGATGCGGCAGACACTGGGCAGTCGCCTCGGTGCCGCAACCTTCCCCCATTGGTTCTTGCCCAAGGGTAAGACCGCGGCAGTGATGTCAAGCAGCAGGTCCACTGAAGAGGGACACCACGACTTACCGCGGCCCGCCTTGGTTTTAACCATTTTGAATATGAATGGTTGCCCAGGGCTTCACGATTGACCTCTTAATTTTTGTTGCTTTCATGATTACTTTTCACGGTGCGGATGCGAGGGGAGGTCTCACAAATGAAATGGCCGTAATTTGTATCACACTAATTTCAATCACACACTAATTCGATGTTGAATTATTCGAAGAGTGGATTTGATTGGCGAGTTGATTCATGTTTTGTGTTTTGATTGGTCGATCGATTCCCTGCGGAAACTTGAAACTCCGAGGTGCTGAATTTCAAATTTACGAACCAAATTTCCTGTTCACAATCGAACAAAAACAATTTCAGGAATATGGTCAAATTTCGGGTTTGCTAAAGGTCTATAGTGTCGGAAGAAGTGGACAAACGGCTAGGAAACATCCAGGTCTACGCTCAGCCTACCTCCGCGTCCGCCTGCTTTCGGCTCAGCTTCACTGCACCTGGCTGGCGACAGGGGTCGAAAATACGCATATTATATGTATGTTTTAGCTACACAGTGCATACATAATGCATAATCGTTGCAAAATACTGAAGTACATTATGCATATTATGCAATATATGCGCATTAATGAACATATTTTTGCTCAAGCGTTTCGTGGACAGGCGATACGTCCCAGTATCTGCGGCTGCACTTAAGGAAGAAGGTCGCCTCAATCATGATGGGATGGAGTGAAAAACGGTCGAGACCAATCAAAGCAAGCGCCATGCTGAAAAGACGCTCGGCTATGTTTGACGGTGGGGTGACAGCACCAAGGAGGACATAGGTGTCATTCTAGTCGGGCATGGGTGCACGTTTCAACGCTCTTTCGGCAAATCCAGCATCTTCGTTCGAGGCATCGTCTGCGCCGTAGTTGCTTCGCAGTACAGCAACGACCAACTTCTCTGGCCGAGTGAGCGTGCGACCACGTTGAAGCTTCGTGACGGCATTTTCAAAATTTGGGTTGCCAACAATATTTGCTCATCCACCTAACATATTCTAAGTGTACTAGCTACTACCTCTGTCCCGGTTTTATTGCTCCAAACGGCATTTTTGAGAAACGAATACAATGTTTTCTGAGAAGTATAGAGTATGCGGTATGTTTCAAAAGAGCAGGACTCGGCGAATTCAATTGAAATCAAATTGAGTTCAAATACATCCAATCAAATACGAGAGAGCAATCAGAAGACTCCATACTGTGGCTCATATAATTGAAAAAACCACTCTCAATAAAAAAAAGTACGGATAAAAAGGAACGACATCCGTACATACAAGCCTCAAATAGTGTTTTCACCGTAACTTCGCCAATCTTACTCCAATTTTGATGCAATAAGGCTCAAAATCACCGCATTGCTTGGCGCTATCGGTTGGCGCCGATTTCAGGTCATTGCAGAAGTTATCGCGCGAAAACCGAGGCATCGCTGATTCATCGGGCATTGTCGAAATCATTGCCATGTGAAAAATCCTCACGGACGTCAAACGGAACGCCGTACTGCAGAGACTGCTCATTCGAATGCAACCTGGCGGCAAACTGCCTCGAGGAGCCATGCTGGATGTGGCGCTGGAGTTCGGCGTGGTGCGGAGTACTGTCCGGCGGATCTGGAAGTGAGTGTGTGTGGACGTCCATGGTGGTGTTCGCCCGTGTGCCGACGTTTCATCGCAAATGAAGGGTCGTGTTGGAAGCAAGCAAGTGCATGAATCGATTTCCGACTGCAAGCGATTCCAAAGGCCCGTCGAACCACGTTTCGGTCCATCGCTGCAGCCATGAATGTG